TACTCCATTGTTATTAACTCTAATTATATCCATAATATTAATCAGAGACCAAGTCAACATTTATTCACAGCTAACTATTGATATTATTTTGTGTTAAGAACTTTGAAGATTTACTCTTTTGGCAACTTTAAAATATGCAATACAATATTTTTAACTACAGTTGCCATGCTGTACATTGTATCCCCAATGCTTATGTAGTCTGTAACTGAAGTTTGTACCTTTTGACTCCCTTTACCCATTTTACCACCTCTCCCACCTTCCCCACTGTGGTAGCCACCAAATCTGTTCTTTGTATTCATAAGCTTGTTTTTTTTCTTTTAAGATTCTACATATAAGTGAGGTCATATGGTATTTGTCTTTCACTATTTAATTTATTTCATTTAATGTAATGTCCCCAAGGCCCATCCATGTTTTCACAAATGGCATGATTTCATTCTTTTTAATGGCCACATGATATCCTATTGTATATATGTATACCACCTCATCTTTTATCAATTTATCTTTTGACAGACACTTAAGTTGTTTCCATATCTTGATTATTGTAAATAATGCTGTGATGAACATGGAGGTGCGTATATCTCTTCAAGTTAGCATTTTCATTTTCTCTGGATAAATATCCAGGAGTGGAATTGCTGGATCATACGGTAATTCTTTTTTTATTTTAAGGAACCTCCATACTGTTTTCCATATTGGCTGCACCAATTTAGATTCACACCAACAGTGCACAGGGTTTCCTTTCCTCCACATCTCTACCAATACTGTTATTTCTTGTATTTTTGACAATAGCCATTCTAACAGGTGTGAGGTGGTAGCTCATCTCATTGTGGTTTTGATTTGCATTTTCTTGATGATTAGTGATGTGGAGCATCTTTTCATGTTCCTGTTGGCCATTTGTATTTCTTCTTTGGAGAAATGTCTGCTCAGGTCCTCCACCCATTTTTCAATTGGATTGTTTGTCTCTTTTTTGCTATTGTGTTGTTTGAGTTCTTTTTCCTTTGGATATTAACCCTTTATAAGATATATGGATTTGCAAATATTCTCTCCCATTAAGTAGGTTACCTTTTAAATTTTTTAGTAGTTTTCTTTCCTACGTAGAAGCTTTTTAGTTTGATGTAGTCCCATTTATTTTGCTTTTGTTGTCTTTGCTTCTGGTGTCAAATGCAAAAAGTTATCACTAACCCACTGTCAAAGACATACAGCCTATGTTTTCTTCTAGGAGCTTTATGCTTTCAGGACTTACATTCAAGTCTTTATACTATTTTGAGTTAATTTTTGTGCATGTTGTAAGATAGTAGTCCAGTCTCATTCTTTTTCATGTTGCTGTCTGGTTTCCCTAACACCATTTATTGTAAAGACTATCCTTTCCTCATTGCATTTTCTTACATCCTTTGTCATAAATTAAGTGACAATATATACATGGATTTTTTTCTGGGCTCTCTCTTCTGTCCTGTTTGCTATGTCTCTGTTTTTATGCCAATACCATACTGCTTTGATTACTACAACTTTGTGATATAGTGTAAAATCAGGGAGCATGATGTCTCCAGCTTTGTTCTTCTTTTCCAAGATTGCTTTGGCTATTCAGGGTGTTCCATGGTTCCATACAAATTTTAGAATTGTATTTTTCTAGTTATATCAAAAATGCCATTAGAATTTTTATAGGGATTACATTGAATATGTAAATTGCTTTGGGTGTTAAGGACATTTTAAGAATATTAAATCTTCCAGTCCATGAGCACAGAATATCTTTGCATTTATTTGTACCTTTAGATATTTTATTCTTCTATGATACAAATGTAATTGATGGTTTTCTTAACTTCTCTTTCTGATAGTTTGCTAGTAGTACATAGAATGTAGCAGATTTCTATATATTAATTTTGTATTCTGTAAGTTTACTGAGTTCATTCTTAGTTTTTTTGTGGAGTCTTTAGGGTTGTCTGTATATAATATTATGTCATTTGCAAACAGTGACAGTTTTAATTTTTCCTTTTCAATTTGGATATCATTTATTTCTTTTTCTTGCTTAATTGCTCTGGCTAGGACTTCTAATACTTGTTGAATAAAAGTGGTGAGAATAGGCATCCTTGTCTTGTTCCTGATCTTAGATGAAAAGCTTTAATCTTTTTGCCATTGAGTATGATGTTAGCTGTGGGTTTGTTGTATGTGGCTTTTGTTATGTTGAGGTATGTTCCCTCTATACCCACCTTATTGAGTGTTTATCATGAATGGATGTTGAATTTTTTCAAGTGCTTTTTCAGCATCTATTGAGATGATCATATGGTTTTTATCCTTCCTTTTGTTAATGGAATTATTGTATTGATTGATTTGTAGATACTGAACCATTCTTGCATCCCTGGAATAAATCTCACTTGGTCACATTGATCATTTTAATGTTTTTTTAAATTCAGTTTGCTAATATTTTGTTGAGGATTTTTGCATCTATGTTCATTAGGGATATTGATCTGTAATTTTTTGTTGTTAGAGTGTCTGGTTTTGGCATCAGACATGTAATGCTAGCCTCATAAAATGGATTTGGAAGCATTCCTTCCTTTTCTATATTTTGAAAGTTTGAGAAGGATAGATAGTATTTCTTCTTTAACTGTTTGGTAGAATTCACCTATGAATACATCTGGTCCTAGACTTTCATTTGTTGGGAGGTTTTTGATTACTGGCTCAATTTCATTACTATAAGTGGTCTGTTCAGATTTTTCCGTGTCTTCCTGGTTAGTTAGACTTAGGAAGCATCAACTTCAAAACAACTCATTCCTTCAAGAAGGTGTTGCTATGCCCTTCTGCCACTTCCTATCCCTCATTCCCAACTAATATGGCTGCCAAGTCAGGAAGACGATTCAAAATTGTGTAGATTTCAGAAGTGAAGGCAGGTACAAAACTCAGTTAGGCAGAAATCCCATATGCATATCATCTAATAACATCCTTTCTCATTTTACTTGAAGAAATTCTGAGGGTCCACCAATTTAGAAACATGTTTAGGAAAAATGGAGGTATTTCTGGGATGTTGAAGGGCTGTTACTGCAAAGTTAGTTCATTGAATACATTTGCATGACTCCTACCACCTTCTGCAAACCAAACACACTAAGGGAATGAACACTTTGATAAGGGTGGGTGTAGGAAAGAATTTTGGAGTCTGAGTCCCTTCGGAAGAAAAGGTAGGAGCTACAATAAGGTGCTCAAGACACATGGAGAAGGGTTCAGAAAAGGAGATGGGAAAAATCAATGCCAAATGCCAATTATTTTTTTATTTAGGCTGGTCCTGTATTCAAGAAAATATTAAACTCTCCTCTCTCTCTCTCTCTTTCTCTCTCTCTCCCTCTCTTTCTCATTCTCTCTTTTCATTTCAGCCTTTGTTCTCCAACATCAAATCAACCAATGCTGCTACAGATGAAATAAATGGTTGTTTCCTCGCTTGGGACTATAAATAACAATACTTTTGTGGGGGGAAAAGTACTTGAATACCAATAAATTGATGCCTATGTGAATGTGGACACATATTTCATAGGCAAGCTGAGGGTTAGTTTGCCTGAAGATATCTGTCACAGGGAACTCCTTTAATTGTTTTTCCTGCTTTTATGTTGATTTCCTCTTAGTAAGTAATAGTGCCAACATAGATCAGCTTCTGTGCTTCAGAAGCCAAGTGAAGAAAGTGATTCAAGAAAGAGAGAGCATTATGCTAAATGGGCCTGAGATGCCAGGGAAGCTCAGGGTGGGCGACAAAAGTTTGGCTTTGTACTGTGAAGCTCTGCATATAGATAAGAGCAACTTCATGGCAAGATGAGGGTGAAAATGATTGGCATGTGTTCAAGAGGGCAGAAGGGATGAAGTATTAAGAGCAGGCAAAGGCAAATCTTTTAGGAGATTTCTCTACACAAAGAGACAAGGAAATGTAACAGTAGCTTGAAGGGGAGGTGAAGAAGGCAGCCTTTAAAAAATTTCTTTGTAGGGGCCTTATCCTTGAGGAGGCAAGAGGAGATGGGACTCAGAGCACAAGTGGAAGGGCTGGCCTCAGAAGGAAGGTGACAGTTTACCCACTGTCATAGGTAGGAAGGCAGGATTATGGACAGAGATGCAGATAGATTAATGAATTTCAAGATAGGAAGAAGTGAAAGTTCTTTCCTGATCATTTCCATCATCTCAGGCAAAATCATAATCAGGAATCAGCTGAGAGTTAGAAAGATGAGTTTTGGAAGAGAGAAGGGGTGATTGTTCTCTGGGAGTACAGGAGAGTGAAGTGGCCAGGATCAGTGGGGTGGATGACGCTGTGGTCTGCTCAATTTGGACTCATAAATTCACAACTACACAGTCAGTGTGGTTGCATTTTTCTCTAACTGTATTCATCTCCTTAGATACAAGAGTGGAATAGGCAGAGGAATGGGTTGAATCCATGGAGAGGTTTTGCCAGGTGAGTTATGGTGAGGAGAAAGAGGGGCCAGAAATTGTGTAATACATGCTGGAGGGTTTTGATGATGGACATGGAATCTAATCTGAGGAAGCACAGAAATGGCACTGAAGGGAAAGAAGAAAACAGTGGAAGGGCAAAATGAACAGAAAATCTCCTAGTGGATTTCACAGATTACACAGAGAATTCTAAAGGCACTAGGGAGTGAACTTGCATTTCCTTTAGGATGAGTATAATGTCAGAGAATTTTCTTCAGGAATTTTATATAAGCTAAAAAATGCTCTTTGAGCAGACTTCTCTGATGAAAAAGCATGAATCCTATGAATTGAGCATCTCTAATAAGGAGACATAAATATATCTACTCTCTCAGCTAGAGGGTAAAAAACTGTTGAGTTATTTTCAAAATAAAAAATGATTTTAAAAGGGTAAGTATAAATTGAGGCAAATCACACTGGCATGAAATTGGGCCTATTGATTTCTGCAATTTTCAGCAAAAGGGAACTTTCAGGCAGAAAGAGCCCCATGAAGATAGGAGCAGATGACCGAATGGCTATAATTCATTTCCATTTCCCCAGGCAGGTGAGCCAGACTCATAGCTTGCTGCTAAGTTTGGTACTTAGCAAAGCAAATTAACTATTTCAAGTCAGCAAGAGTAATTTTAAAGTGCTTAAATTGTATGGCACTGACAATATTCTTTCCAAAGGAGGGACCTTGCCACAATACAGAATGAGGCCCAGTGATATGTGACACCTTGTCATGTCCATAGAATTTTAGTAAATATTGGAGCAGAGCAGGACAAAATATTGTTTCCCAAGATAGGACCTAATTTTGCATGTGGAAATGAATGGTTGAAAGTGCTCATAAATATTAGCTATAAATCTGATCTAGAAAGATGCTAGTGGTTTTTTTTTTTATATTTTATGGTTATCTCTGTTTTTCTTGATACATTTGCAGGTGCATAGGGGTCAGACCAGGAACCTTTATGGAAGGAAACTAACACATTCTAGGTTATTGTTTGAGAGTATACACTGCTTAACCTATACAATTGGGGCATCCCCAGTAGCCTGGACGGGTTATTAATTTCTCCTTACAGAGACTGCATGTTCTGAAATCACATCTTTGTCTGGCCTTGAACCATTGGGTCCATGAGGAGGAAGGGAACTGACATGTGGGCTGCCTCAGGAGGACCAGACACTGTTCATACATGCCTGATACATCGTATCAATTGGTTGTTATTCTGTCCTTACTGGGCAGAAGAGGAAACTGGTTTAAAAAGTTTTCCTAAACCATAGATTAAGTGATTGAGCTGGGATTCAAATCTCGGCTCACAGGTCTGACTGATTAACCCCCTCACGTCCCTGAGTGAACCCGATAGTCCCGCAGCCGCCACGGCTTCACTGTGAGATTTGGTGCCTCCCAGACTCCTCACTTCATTTTTGCAAAGCTTACAATATTTCCTTTCCTTTTCTTTTTAAATTGAAGTATAGTTGATACACAATATATTAGTTTCAGGGGTACAATATAGTGGTTCAAATTGTATACATTTCAAAATGCTCACCATGGTTAAGTGTAGTTACTAACTCTCACCACACAAAGGTATTTACACTATATTCCCTGTGATTTACATTTCATCCCTGTGGCTTATTTTACACTTCGAAGCTTGTACCTCTTTATGTCCTTCACTTATTTGGCCCATCCCCCTGCCCAACTTCCCAAGCTTTCTGAGTTTCCTGTGGGCCCAAAGAGCTACCTCGATCCCCACTGGAAAACCCTGTGGGGCCGTCTCTCCGTGCGGGAAGGCTCCCTTCCTGGTGTCCTGTGGCCCTAAGGCACCTCAGGTCTTCCCGTCAGTGAGACGGGAGAGGGTCCCAGCTCGGCCACATCACAGCTGGGTGACCTTGCTCTCTGACAACAGCTTCTGTTTCATTCAGGAAAAAAATGAAAAGATACACATTACCTTTGTCCCAGGGTTACTATACAGACTGAGTGAGATAACAAGTGTGGACTCAGCATAGTACCTAAAAAAATTGTATATTTTTAAAAATCAGGCTCACAGATTAGACTGTTCTGCTGTATTTGAACAATTCATCTTGTACATTCTGGTGACATCTATTAGTCATTTTTATGTAACATTCAACCCACTCTTGTCTAACTTGTTTAAAAGCTTTTTCAGGCTTGAATCATGTTCTGCTCCTTTGTGCCCTCTACACATAGCAGAGGACTTTGCATAGAGAAGCCTCTCCAAAGATATTTGTTGAGCTGATTTCATTTCATAAGACATTCTTTTTAAATAGCAACAGGAAGAACAATTCAAGATGTACATACTGCGCATTTTGATAACGCCTTCCTTCTCTGATGCTGTGTGGCTCTTTGTTTTAGCTTTTTTCCTTCTGAGCCATGTTTCTGAAATGACACTTGGGGGCAGCATTGAGTCAACTTGCACTTGACTGTTATGAACTAGAATGAAATAAATCCAAAACTATAGGGGATGAAAGGCAGGAAATGAACAATTCTCAAACTACGTCACTGGCTTTAAAATGACTGTGTGCTTTGCTACCGAAGGCTGTTTAGAAGCAGTGCACCCTTCTTCATGCCTCCTGGGAGCTTTTGAGAATAAATTGTTTTCTTCCTAGCCCTGGGTGGCAAAACAAACTGCAAGACATTTAACCATTTATTGACAGAGCAAAATGGAGCAAATGTGCAAGCTACATCATAAAGGAAGATAAATTTAGCATACAATTAGGATGTGAAAAGGCACATCTACTGCTCTGGTCAAACACTACCTTAGTAACTGGCATCAATTAAATCAGTTCAATGAAACAGTGAAATAAAATGCTTCATTAGCAAGATTTTTTCCCTGAAACATTAGAAGAGAAAAAAAGTTGAGAGTAGCGTCACCACAAGTTAATAGCAGAGGTTTATTTCACCAAAAAAACTTTCTAGAATGCTCTATGCCCAGGACATATTCTATCCATTCTCCTACAGTGATATTTACATCACTGCAAGTATATGCTTAGATGTTCTATTAATGCCCAGACTTTTTGCCTCTGGGTATTGCAGGATCCTTTCCTGTCCAAAGCAATGTACTAACTGAGAAAACAAAATAGACTCAGGTATTTCACACATTTTTTTTTTTTTTAGATTTGAAAAAAGGTACAAAGTAAGCTCACAGAAAAACCTCTTTGCCTAGCAAGTTGTGTCTGTCTCTACTCCTCACCAGAATCTGAGGAAATCACACGTTTTTATGGGTTCCTATGGATACACAAGTCTCCATAGGTCCACAACCTAATTTCTGTGATACCTGTTCCCTGATTTATTATACAGGCATTTATTTATTCATTCAACAAACATTCACAGACCATCCAATATGTATCCAGCCTTGGGATTACAAGGATGAAAAACACATAATCTATGTTTTTAAGTTTACAGTCTAAAGAGAAATGAACACACACACATACATACATACACAAACATACCTGTAAATAATTGCTGTCACACTGATTTCTTTTAATCTTGGAATCTATGATTCTTCCCATAGCTAAGCAAAATTACACTTCAGAGTGAAATCTCAGAAAGTACAGGTTTCACTGGACAGATGAGGAAGATGAAGTTCAGAGATGTTAAAAGATTGGCAGTTGAGTGTTGATGTCCTTATTAAAATGTGTAGTACGTTGAAAGCTGATTCCCAGTGTGATGGTTTTAGGAGGTGGGGCCTTGATTTGTGATTGATCATGAGGGTGGAACCCACAAATGGGATTAATGCCCTTAGAAGATACAGGGAGCATGTTCTCTCTGCCATCTGAGGATACAGCATTTGCAAACCAGGAAGTGGGTTCTTACCAGAACCAATTCTGCCAGCATTTGATCTTGGACTTCCAGCCTCCAAAACAGTAAGAAATAAATATATGTTTGTTGTTCAAACCACCTCATCTTTAGTAATTTGTTATTGCAGCCTAAACTGATTAAGACAAAGGGTGTTTGTTGAGAATCCTTTTCTGTTTGTATGGTTTTAGATATTCAGAAAAGAATCTCATAATGTAGAAAAGGGAAAGAATTTACTCCAAAACATTCATTCTGTAGAAAATTATGCAAATATTAACATCCCATTCTATTCCCCAGCTACAACTCTAAGGCTGTGTGGGAAAAGCACAGGAGAGATCAAAGCCTCAATCTGATTCTGTGGCTCCAGTCCAGAGCTGGGTTACTAGGCGGGCAGGAGAGGGAGCGGCCCTGCTGCCTTTTTCTAGGTCGACCCGCTTTATTCCAGTCACTAGCCTAATCAGAGTCAGTGGGGATGCCACAGTCCCCAGAAGTTCTCAAACATGAAGCTTGGATTTAGACATTTATTCAAGACTGAGAAAATCACCTTCATTTATGTCCTCAGAGGTTCCCACCTCCTTTGGGATAGCTTTTTTTTTTTTGCAGTGCTATCTAACTGGGACCACATCAAGCCCATTTTCCAGTACTTTTCCTGTAGTGTTGCTTCAAAATGAGGAGGTTTTCAGTGTCCTGGTATCATGTGGTAATAATCCTAAACAGGCTGGCTTTCTTCCAAGTATGAGCGAACCATAAATGCATGTGGTTCAAAGCTATGTTAACAACTCATATGCTGAGTTTCCATTACAATTTTATAAAAATCTACCTTAAAGTTACATCTCCCAACAGATCTGCCTGGGTGTTTTCATTGTCCTTGTATTTCTTACTCCGTGTTTTGAATTTACACTAAAAAGTCCGTGTATTGTCCAGAATGCATGTTAATGTTTTTTATTATAATGTGGGGCCTCATGATTTTAATCCTGAATAGCACGTATCCTGAGCTACACATCCTGAGGTAGCATGAGAAGGTACATTTTTCCTGCCTGCCATGTGTGAACATTCCCCGCAATGGCAGCTAAACCAAAGAACACCCAGGATGCAGAGACTGCTCTGTACCCTCTAGTTTTGTAAAGAGACACTTTGGGCATGAGACTAGAAAACCAGAAACAAGGAAAGGAGATTTTATGGAGGATTTCTTTCTTCCACCCCATCCCTTCCTTGTTGTGGGGACAGGAGGCAGAAGGGAAAATTTGAGGGAATGAATGAGAGAACTTGTGTCTGTTCAGAACCTTCTCTGGTAGTGGGCATCTCACAGAGACGTTGGCAATGGGCTTATGGGGCAATGTTATGCCCTCTGATTAGCTTGGGTTTCCCACAGGTTCCCAAAAGAGGTCAGGACAGAGTCTCAAGCCAAAATAATCACCATCCATCATGGAAGACCTGTGCCTATGGACTGTGTTTGCAGTGACACATAAATTTCCCCTGAACCCTGATGCTCCCTCTCTCTACCCTCCAGGAAAAAGGGAGGAGATGGCAGAACTTTCACAAACTGTGTTTGAGAAATTGCATATTAGACCTTGGATTGGAATGTAGAACAGAGAACAAAATAGGATGTAGAGATGGGCAGACAGAAATTGCTGGACTGGATAGAAGGAACATCTCAAAAATGACTAGATTATATTTTCTGCCAAGAGCAGAATTGGATACTGTGAATCAAAAATCAGGTTGAGTCAGAGAGAAAAAAATAAGGCAGTATTTCTAGACACCCGAGGCTTGTCCATTATTATGACCATGAAAATGGACGTCTATCATGAAAATAATCCATTATAAATGTAAATTAGTTATCGAGTACCTTGTCACCCAAAATACTTATCCTGCCCCCACCAATCCTACTGCATAGTATGAACCTGGCTGATTGAATCTTGAATTTGTTTTTATCACTTAAAAGTCCAGAGGTGTTGGCGCTAGACACAGACTTAATTGTTCTGTTTGTATCACCTCTGATTCTTTCGAGTAGATAAATTTAGTCCTGAGTGTAAAATCAGAAAAGAAATACTTATGGAAATATATTTATCTTCTAACCATTAGCTGTGAAAGAGGTCAAGGAGTCATTTTACATGATTATTAGCAAATCGGCATTCAAATTCCTTCTCCATTTGTCAAATCTTCGTTTAGATTGTGCTCTGAAGTAGAAAAAGGCACAGAATTAAGGGACGGATACAAGTCAGTGAGTCCCAGGGACACTAGGGGATCTGAGTGTCCATAGGGACTGACGGTTACCACAACATGGGTTCAGAAAGGTCCATGTGCCTGCCTATTGCAGACTTGATATGCACCAAGTGCTAAAGTGAAGGGAGGAGAGAGAGGGAGGGGAAAAGAGACAGAGAAGAAATGGAAGGAAAGGGGGAAATTCCATTTAGTATGTCAAAAACAGCTTTTAAAACGATTCAACATGATACATTAAAGTGTAAAAACTGGCCTCTTCAATGTCAATCCTTCTTTGGGCGAGGGTGGGTGGTACAGTCAGATGAGGCTACATTACCCCTGTATGGAGTCTGAGGGAACAAAATAATGAGACAAGAAAGGTACAGTATTTTGCTTTGTAAGGCTTCAGTGTCCCCAAATATTGCCAACATGGACCATTTGCCTAAATCTGAAGTATTGCCAATTATAAATAATTTAAGAATCTTAAACATCTTTCTGATTTGAAAATCTTTGTCCTGCCTGCCCATAGCCTACGGAATACCTGTTCTACAGTTAGAGATTTAAATGCTGCCTATCGGGCCTTTCCGTTTAAGGGAGGTTCGCTTGCGCTCCGGTGTCCTTCACGGAACACCCTGCTGCTATCTATTTTCCAGGAAGAATCCAAGGGTTCCACCAAACCTTTCCAGAGGCTCTGACACCAGGCCAACTATTTATATACATCACAACTAAATTACAATTATTGTAAGTACCCCCTTTGCTGATCTTTCTTTTGGAAAGTGTGACACCAAAGGATAGTGAGGAATTACAAATTCTCCGCCTAGGATTGTCACACACAATTCCCATCTCCCTGTCTAATCCTTGTTTTTCCAAAAGGAAAAATACCGAGGGACTTTGGAGGAGCCATCATTCACGGTGGGAACTCCGCTCCCTCCCAAAGCCTCCCCGCTGCGCCCCTAAACATGCTGTTGGTAAATTGTTCCTGCTGAATAACGTGAGCTGCGGGACTTTTTCCGCCTGCCTGCAAGCAGATTAGACTGCTGGCTCTCCTGGGTGCGAGGACAGCCCCCGGAACCCCAGGAGGCCTTTATCAGCCACCAACAGATGGAGCCTATCAGCACGCTGTCAGCCATGCGCACCTGTGGATCGCGCGCTGCAGCCAAAAAATTAATTGCTTAGAAATATAAAACGGGTAGGCTCCGATCGGAGAGGATTAGGAACAAGAAGGTTAGGCACGGGAAGAGGAAGCTGCGCTCTGCTAGGGAACTTTATCAACATCAGCATATCTAAGTGTGCATAGTGGTCAGCGTTTGACTTGATTTCCAAATAGAAAAGACCCAGCAGGATTAGAATCGAAATGTTTGAGAAGGAAGCAAAGCAAGCTGAAAGAACGCATAATGCCCGTGCTTCATTTGCATCGTTCACAGGCGTTCTGAAGTAAACCGACAATTTTTTTCTTCTTGTATTGGGCTAGTGAAATTTCGTATGTAATCTGTTGGTTTATTCATTCTCCTCATTTTTCATTTGCCATAGTTTTCAGCTCTTCGTACTTTACTGCTTCTTATATCTCAGTACGGGCGGGAGAGGTTTTGGGTTTGGTTTGGTTTTCCATAATGGTTCCAGGGGCCTATTTTTATAATTCATATTTTCTTGTTTCTCTTAAGGAGTTTTAATAGAAAAAAAAGTTTTGAGTCCATTGCAAAAACGGTTCCTCATTGCGACCTTCAGTCTTTTATCTTTTTTGATTCCAGTTACCTGCAAAATGAAGCAAGATTGCTAAGATCCCTGGTAGCTCTTAAATTGCACGACTCTGTAAAATCAGTTTCCTACATTATTTAGAAATGGCTTATGCAAAATATCTGGAAAATGAAAATAAATGGTATAGAGGGGAAAATCCCTGAGAGGAGTGCACGTTACATTGTCCAACACAGTACTCTTCCTTTGGGAATTTCTCCAATGAAACAGCAGATCATTATTACCAAGGTCGTAGCGAGGAAGTATAAAAAATCTCAGCAATTATGATGTAGTATTGGGAGCTATCTTTACTTAATTGGAAAATTAAATACAATTTTTATTTGTCAATGTTTTGCTTTATTTTAGTTTTAAAGCAAATGTATCTTTTTTATCTTTAAAACAAATGATCCTGGCACAACAAAGCAGTGTATATTCTACATCTGAATTGAAATAATCACTTTTTTCTCTGCAAATAAAATTATAGAAGAAATTGAATTCAATTGAGAATAAATTAACCCAACAGACATTTTTTTATGTATCCCTTGTCAACTTCCAGAATATCCTGGAAATAAAATATAATGCCTTTCGTCAAAGAACTGAAAATCTGGTGGTTTGAATACAAACAATTGCACACATAAAAAGTAATGATAAAAATAATACTAACCACCACTTATTGTGTACTTTAAAGTCTGTGGCCTACCTTTTAATCAGGTTTTTTTTCCCCTTGATATATGTCTGATATGTCAAATCCTCAAAACAATGCTGCAAAGTATCATTATCCTATTTTTTTTTAATGACTTACTTTTTTAGGGCAATTTTGGATCCACAGTTTAAGAAAAGGCACAGAGGTTTCTCATTCACCTCCCTGTTTCCACATATCCACAGCCTCCCCAGCAAAAACATGCTCCACCAGACTGGGACATTGGTCACAGGTGATGGACCCGCAGTGACCCTTCACGGTTGCCCGAGGTCCACAGGGTACATCAGGGCGCAGCCGGTGGTGGTGCTGTACATTCAGAGGTTTGGGCGAATGTATCATGACTCGTCCATTCTCACAGTATCACACAGACTAGTTTCACTACAGGGACTCTGTGTTTGGCTTCTTCATTCCACCTCCAACCCCATCTCTGCAACCACTGATCTTTTTTAACATCTTCATAGTCTTGCCTTTTCTAGAATGCCATGTAGTTGGAATCATACAGTGTAGCCTTTTCAGATAGCTTCTTTCACTCGGTAATGTGTACTTAAGTTTCCTCCCTTCTCTTCAGAGGTTGATAGCACTTTTTTTTTTAGCATCAAATAACATTTCATTGTCTGGATTCCATTGTTCACAGTTTATTAATGGATTCACCTACTGGAGGACCTCTGGGTTATTTCCAAGTCTTAGCAGTAATGAATAAGGCCGCTGCAAACATCCATGTGCAGATTTTTGTGTGGATGTAAGTTTTTAACTGGGTAATACCAAGGAAAGCAATTGCTGAATCATATGGGAAGAGTATGTTAAGTTTTGTAAGAAATTGCCATGCTGTCTTCCAAAATAGCTGAACCATTTTTGCAACCCCACCAGCAATGAATGAGAGTTCCTGTGGCTCCCCTTCCTCACCAGCATGTGGTGGTGTCAGTGTTCTGGGTTTTGGTCATTCTATGCTGTGTGTAATGATATTTCCTTGTTTTAATTTGCATTTCCCTGAAGACACATAATGTGGAGACAATTTTCATATGTTTATTTGCCATTTGTTTATCTTCTTTGCTGAGGTGTCCATTAAAGTCTGTGGCCCACCTTTTAATCAGGTTGTTTTTATTCTTGTCGAGTTTTAAGAGTTCTTTTTATTTATTGGCCAAAGTCCTCTGCCTCATTTTATGAGAATTTTGGTTCTTGAATCCAGAGTATTGCGGCCTTACGCAAGTCCCAGATATAGCACAGTCATAACTTACAAAATAAAAGAGTTCCCAATGGAGAGCACTGAGGATGGAGCAAGGCTATATCTGTATCCCAAAACCTGTAGGGAAATGTTCATCTGTTCCCAAACAGAGGTTTTCACTAACAGGGAACAAAACAGGCAAAGAGGTTTTGCAACAAGCAAGCCCTCAGATTCAAAGCTGTGGGGCACCCAGGACTCCAAAGAGCTAACCCAGACTTCTTTAACCCAGAACACAGGACAGTCCACAGGGAAAGGAAGGGCATGTGGCATCTGACCCCATCCACAACCTCACCTTTCACCAGCAGCCTGCTGGAAGGGAGGGCCCTACTGGGAAGAGAAGACAGCTCCCTCCTGTGGAGGTAAAGCTTTACTGTGATCGGGGCTCTTTATACAGCAAAAACAAAGCCATAGTGATGGCTTCCGGAGAATGAACAGCCAAGTATTTCTTTCAATATGCACTTCATTCATCCATCCATTTACAATTATTTGTTAAAAGTCTGCTATGTGCCTGATACTGTGCTGTTTTCTAGAGACTGAGAAACTCCTCCCCTCGGGTAGATAAGTGAACAAACCACACCTACAGGTGCGCTGCAGATGCCTCAGACCTCAGACCTCCCTGGTACTGGTGGTGTCATCCAAGTGAGGAAAAGGAGCAAGGCCGGTAGGTAGCCTAGCAACAGGCCAGTGATGTGCTAACATTCCGTGAGAATCCTGGCCATAAGAAGCCCAACTGCCGCACACAGCAAACTTGCCAGGGGCTGAAAGCCTTTGGCAAGACAAGTGGCAGAGTCCACAGTGTTCATTGATTACTAAAGAGAAAGAAAGGCGGCCCTTATGGGTGGGGTGCTTCAGCGGGCTTCCCCTAGGAGGGAGCAGAGAGTGGATTATCTGAGGGAAGCACAGGAGGAGGCACGAGAACGCCAGATGCGGAGAATTAAGGTGAAGGTAAGAGCTGCTGAAGACTGAGCTAGGATTGCTGTGAGGCGTGGTAGAAAAGGTAAAGGTTTGTGGCAGAGGAGGCACTCGGGAGGGGAGAGAAGGGTGCCATCAGCCCCGGAAATGGAGGAGCTGGGGAAGGTTGAAGGGGTGGTGCCAGAGGCCCTAACCCCTCAAGTAATGAAAACACTGTGGCTATAAAGAAAATAAAGACCCAGCAGCTGAAAGTTCCCGTAGGAGAGGAGTACTCCCCTCCCCAGGTCATGTGGCTCTCTATGGACCACCCCTATAGTCAGGTTGAGCTGGTGGATTTGGGCTCCCAGTTTAGGCAGAAGCCCTCAGAGTCAATATCAGCTTGGCTCCTGTGTCTCTGGTACTTAGTTACAGCCATTAAGACCAAAGAGGCAGAGGTCAGAGCCAGAGCCACAAGTCCCACCTGTGTGTTTGCAAGACTTCCTGCTGTAGAGCGAGCCAGTGTCACTCGAGCCCACACAGGAAGATGACTGGGGAACACGGTTTGACTGAGGGGAAGGTCAAGGTATCTCCCCTGAGAGACCAGGGGGGAACAGTAGGCCACATGTTGAAAAAGCTATCCATTGGTCCCCAGTGAACATACAATGTATCCTGGCTCTGGAGGACACAGGGGCTGAATGTTCACTGATTCATGGTAACCCTGAGCAGTTTTCCCAGAAACCCCAGTATCACAGATGGATATGGCTGTAAGGCCATGAGAGTGAATCAAGCCCAAATCCCTTTGGGAATAGGGTGTCTACTCCCAAAGGAGTATACTGGGTATATATCTCCTATCCCTGAGTATATTTTGGGGATTGATATCCTGCAGGATCTATGGTTGCAGACCACTGCAGGTGAGTTCAGACTGAGAGTATGTGTGGTGAAGGCGGTTCTGAGGGGACATGGTATGCACCTGCCTATAGCTTTGCATGTGCCTCGGCGGGTGACCAATACCAAACAATACAAACTGCCTGGAGGACATAAAGAGGTTGGAGAAACTATCCCGGAGCTGGAAAAGGTGGGTAATATAAAGCCCACCCATAGTCCTTTCAATTCCCCAGTGTGGCCAGTAAAAAAGCCAGATGGCTCCTGGCATGTGACTGTGGATTACAGAGAACTGAATAGTCATACCCCCTATGCATGTTGCTGTCCCCTCTATTGCAGGCCTGATGGACCCTCAGCCATGAACTAGGAACATATCACTATGTGCTGGATCTTGCTAATGCCTTCTTTTCCATTGACATTGAGCAGGAAAGTCAGGTACAGATTGCCTTCACGTGGGAAGAATGGCAATGGACTTTCACCGTCCTTCCACCTGGATACCTCCACAGCCCCACCATCTGTCATGGACTTGTAGCCCAGGACATGACTACATGGGAGAAACCGCCAGTGGTGCGGCTGTATCATTATATTGATGATGTCATGTTCACATCCGATTCTCTTTCAGATCTAGAAGGTGTAGCACCTAGACTGCTACAATATCTACAGGAGAAAGGATGGGCTGTGAACAGTACCAAGGTTCAGGGACCTGGTTTGTCTGTCAAATTGTTGGGGGTTGTCTGGTTGGGTGAGACCAAAGCTATACCAGAAGCAGTTATAGATAAAGTCCAGGCCTTTCCTACCCCTACAACTATAGCATTGCTACAGGAGTTTCTGGGTCTTCTAGGCTACTGGAGAGAGTTTATCTCACACTTGGCACAAATTCTGAAACCCTCATACTGGTTGGTATGAAAAGGTGTCAGGTGGGAGTGGGATGAAACTTGTGCATCTGCCTTCACTACAGCTAAACAGGCAGTGAAGGCCGTTCAGGCCTTGAGTGTGATAGACCGATTAAGGCCCTGTGAGCTGCATGTACATGTGACTGAAGATGGTTATAGCTGGGGTCTCTGGCGGCGGCTTAAATGAACTTCCAACGTATTGGATTCTGGTCACAATGTTGGAAATGGGTAGAGGTATGATACACTTTGATAGAAAAACAACTGAATGCCATGTATCACTCCTTGCTGGCTACAGAACCCATCACTGGAATGGCCCCGATAAGGGAAATACCCACCAATCCCATCTTGGGGTCGGTACGAAACTGGACGCAAAAGCCAAGGAGTGGTGTGGCACAAATGCCCACACTGGCCAAGTGGGGTTCTTACCC